GCCGGTGGTGGCGATGCCGGTTGCCGGTGGCGATGCCGGTTGCCCCGGCCCCGGTGCCGGCCCCTCCGCTGCCCCCCGCGCCCCCGGCCCGCCCGCGGTGCCCCTCACTGCACGCTGGTCTGCAGTCCGTGGTGAGGGGGCGGCGTGTCGGAGTTGACGGTGCCGACCTGGGAGTAGACATCGTCGGGGGTCTGCTGCTGGATCCCCGGGGGGGTCATCCGTTTCTCTTTCTGCCTCCGATTGCAAAACCAAACCCTGACCACCTCCTTCTCCAGCTGCAGGCTGTCCGCTAGGTTCGTAATCTCCTGGGCGGAGGGCTTGGGGCATTTCAGAAAGTGGCTCTCCAAGGCCCCCTTGACACTCACCTCGATGGAGGTCCGCTTCTTCCTCTTCCTCCCCTGCGCCGCGATCTTGTCGATGCTGGTGGGGCTGCCGGTGGAGGAGTCGGCCTCCTCCAGCCACTTGTTCAGCAGCGGCTTCAGCTTGCACATGTTCTTGAAGCTGAGCTGCAGGGCCTCGAAGCGGCAGATGGTGGTCTGCGAGAAGACGTTGCCGTAGAGGGTCCCCAGGGCCAAGCCCACGTCGGCCTGGGTGAAGCCCAGCTTGATGCGGCGCTGCTTGAACTGTCGGAGGTCGGCGTGTCCTCGTCCGAGTGCGGGTCGTGGCTGTTGACGCCGCCGTGGTGGGGCGGGTGGTGCCCGGGGTGCTGGTGGTGGTGGTGGTGGTGGTGCCCGGGGTGCTCGCCCAGCTCCGGCGTCTCGCCGCGCACCAGCCCCGGGTGCACCAGGCTCTGCCCGCCGGGGGGGGGGCTCAGCATGCCGTTCACCGTGAAGCCCCCCGGCTGCGAGTAGAGGAGCGACTGCTGCTGCTGCTGCCCGCCGGCCATGGAGGGCAGGTGGGCGGCCGCCGCCGCCGCCCCCCAGGCCGCCGGGTGCCCCTGGTGCGGGGGGCCCAGGTGGGGCGGCCGGTGGTGCAACGCCGCGCCCGAGTGCAGGTCGTCGCG